TGTGTGTGTGTGTGTGTGTGTGTGTGTGTGTGTGTGTGTGTGTGTGTGTGTGTGTGTGTGTGTGTATTGCATGTATATTTAACTATATTACATTTTACAATAATTTATTGTATTTGAAAATTTTTTTTTACATATTTTTTATTTTTATTTTAAAACTACAACGATCTTTTAGGAATGGGTTTGTGCGAAGCAGATAGCGTGGAATCATTGGGCTCGCATCGTGCGAGTTTGACACATGCCCGTCTCCTAATGCACCAGAGAGATTCTACAGGATCCCCGGCGCCACCCAGATTGAATAGGAGCAACTCCATCAGGTAAAAAATTCGCAGCATATCATACTATGTTGGTTTCCATTTTCTAAATTATATCTGTATCCTCAAGAGATCTTCGAACTATTGATATAATATTTTATTTTAATAATATTAATATTTTTGTATTACATTGTATTACATTGTATAAGTACGAAAGAATTCCATCACAATATCTAAATCTAAAATTAAAAAAATATTTTTATTTTTATTTATAAATGTTTTATCGAAAATATCAAAAATTAAAATTAAATAACGTATATGTTAAATTTCTAATTTAGTTAATATTTTTTAAATATAAAACTGCAGAATGTTTTTATAAAATTTAAGATAATATCGATTGTTCGAAAAGAGTTTGGGAATCACAAATGATGAATAGTTGCAACATTTTCAGAATGTCTTCAGCATTTATTCTCTCGAACAACGAATAGTTTTTTCTTTTTTCAACTATTTTTTTCTCTTGTTTATTCTTTGATCGATCCGATCCGTAAAATAACGCAGGATAATTTGATTAAACGTTTTTAGCTATCTACGAGACAGGACATTCCCAAGGTAGTGCGAAAATATACACTCAACGAGCCTATTTTCTACGTATAAGTATTAAAAAAAAAATATGAATAGGTCCAATACACATATACACTTAAGAGTTGCTTTCACAAGCACCGAAAAAATTTACCTAAAAGTTCGGTTTTAACCGAATCCGTAGATTCGAAGAATATTTGCGCAATTGTCATTATATTTTAGAAACTAGACTGATTATTCAAAATTTAAAAAAATTTTTTTAATTTAATAAAATAGAAAAAAAGGTATTTATTTCTGAAATTAAAAATTATAGATAGTAAAAGTTTTCGATTCTTGATTTCTAGGATCTTTAAATTTTAAAACATAGAACATATAAATCCTAAAACATTTAGAATTAAAAATTATGGATTCTATAATCTTTGAATCCTTAATCTTTAAGATTTTTGGATTTAAAATATAAATGCGAGAAATCTAGAGTCATAAATTTAATAAAATATTTAAAATCTGTAGAATCAAGAGAATCTCATATATTTAAAAATTTTTGAATTCTTAATTTTTAGAAATGTTCGAATCCTCAGATTTTATGTTTTCTAAGGATTGCAGGACTCACGCAACCACGCAAATATTCACCAAATGTGCTCTACGCGTCTTCGAAATGTATTAATAGTTATTCGTGCGGCAGATTCTACGTTGCCTATTGTTGCTAAAGTTTGTCGTTTAATAGTGTTGCTTGTGCAATATGCATGCGCGGTGATGCTTCATCAATATTCCGGGCCGAGCAATCAGGAGCTATGTATCCGTTACATATTCATTTCTCTTATTTATTGTTGTAGGAGTATTACATAACTCTTGCAGGGTAATTCTATAATACTTATTTGATGAAACGAAATTGAAATAAAAACTATTGACAATGATAATGAATTTGAACCGAGATGACACGGATCGATAGCTCTCGCTCGATTCCCGCGGAATCGAGTGTGCGCAATTCTGTAAACCGTCAAAGTGGTCCTTGACTTCTTGTTGAGTGGTAGCAGCTTATTTTTTAATTAGCTCCCTTCCAGGATCGGCTAATTACGCGCACACTCGGCAAATAGCCGAACACAAGCGTGTTCTCGTTATCGACTATCCAAGCACACTCGAAATTCTATTGGTTCAAACAACACACTGGTACTCTTGACCCTTCCTCAAATCGGGAACAAATTTTCTGTAACATAAGTAAATCGCTCTCCAGCTGTAAAAAAATAATTTACTTGTAATTTGAATAATATTCTGAGTTATATTTCAATTCTATAACAATCTCTTTAACAATCAGTTCCACTGAAGTATTTTTTTAAAACTTTGAAATACGAAAATATTAAATCTAAATAAAAAAAAGAATAAAAGTAAATACTGGTTTGAAAAACGAGAATATGCTTATTTGGCAAAGTATATAGTAGTAAAAAAAATAGATCTACAAGAATAGACTATCACAATTGTAATTAAAAATATACATTCTTTATAATATTATTCTATAAAAAGTCTACGATATAATTATGTTTTCTATCATACATACTTTAACTTTGTATATTGATTAACTATGTCGCGCGGTATCAATAAAATATTTCAAGCCGAAAGATGATCCTTTCGGTCTAGTTTGAACAGTTGTTTGGAGATGTCTTGAGAGGAATTTAAAGAACATGCCGCGCTTGTGTTTTCACAGGTCCACTAAGAGCGAGAAGATGTACCCGTCAATGTTGGCACGCGGAAGCGGCGCCTCATCGTCGGTGGGTGAGGAGGTCGGGATGGGTATGGGAGTTGGAGTCGAGCCATATTACAGCGTTCCTGTGGGATCGGCGGGATGCACCGGCCAACATTGGTCTCAGCCAACGTCACCGACGCCCACGCACACCTCACGGCAGCCACCTAACTTGTACCAGCACGTACATAAGGACGACGACAGTGAGTGCCTGCATCATGAAGTACAGAGTGTAGTACAACATTTTCTTAAACTCTAAAGATATCGATTTTAACGTAACTTTTGTAATTGAACTTTTTACAAAAATAGGGTTAATTAATATTGCACTGCATCTTTTTTAATGTTATATAAAATAGACTATAGTCTCTAAAGCGGATTATAATTAACATATTTTCAGTATAGAGTACAAAAAAAAGAGAAGAAATAATATACATATAACAATTAAAAGAAAAAAGAAATAAAATTACAAACAACTCGAAACAACGCATTAATTTTTATGTATCGTATATAAAAGAAATTTAGAATTTAAATTACTTATATCACACATATGTTTACATAAATATACTACACGTAAGAATGTATATATAATTAATTTAGTTTCCAAAATCTGAAACTCTCGTTAAGTTAAAAAAATTTCCTTGAAAATTAATCCTAGAATTAAACTTTAAATTAGTAAACATGCAGTAAGAAGAATTTCGTGTTTATTTTAGTTCATGGTTCTTCGGTATCCTTGGTGTCCACCACGAGCAGTCTTTATAGTTCAGCTGAGGAGAAGCAGGCGCATGAATTGAGAAAATTGCGTCGTGAATTACTGGACGCTCAGGAGAAGGTGCATTCGTTAACCAGTCAACTGTCTACAAATGTAAGTACATGGCACTTTACGAATTTAAACACGCGCAATTTACAAATTTAACTTGTGTACTATTCAAATTTCACATGAATATGAATTATATGCCAGTATTACAACTTATTTCTTACTTTTTTAAAACCTGGCCGAGGTGATATTTTTCGCAATAAATTAGTTGCAGTTTTTTTAGATTTTCGTTAACATATAACGATTAATATTCTTATAAAAGTTGCTCTTATTAGCATAAAAAAATTATAAAATTGTTTAGACAAATAATATTACTATTCTGATTCTGTTTATAAATTCGTTTTAAGACCGAAAAAGATTTTGGTGGACGGTATGCAGAGTCGGCATGTATATAAATTATTAAATTCACACAAGAAATATATATATTTAAGCACTAAGATCCGCTTCGACCACATATAGAATTTTTCTTATTTAATTAACTTTAGTCTCATCGGTCCAAATTCGTTTTATATTCCTTACTTATTGTTGCAATTGTTTGTTTTCACAACGATGGTGCGCCGATTAGCACAGAGCTATATAACTGTAATTGCAGATAGTGACTAATTAACGCGTTCAGATCTGTCACGGTCGCGAGCGGGGCATGATACAGTTAGCAGCGTGGAAACAGAGCAAATTGGTTGGCAGATGATTGGTCGTAATTAATCAACAATTACTAGGCCCATGAGCCAGCAGTCTCTAATAGCTTTGAATCTACCCGGAACCTGTTGCGATGATCCATATAGCAACGTGTTCGATACAAAGCCACTAACTTTGGCATTCGCTTTACACTGAATTATACATATATTACATATTTAATATTAAAATTAGAAAATTTTAATTTTACATTAAGAAGAAAATATTGTAATTAAACAGAGATTCTCTATTTATCTTTTATTAACTTACCTTCTAAAGATATTCTTACTTTTTAATTTTCTAATATAATTTTGCACATTTTATTTAAAAAAAATTCAATAACAAATAACATGCAAAAATTATTGATTTAAATATTTATAATTAGAATATTTTGAGTATTAGAGAATTTTACTTCTAATGAAAAAATATCGAGTATCTCACAAAAATCTGACAGGTTCTAAAGGTATAGAATGTCAATACATTGAATATAAATATGTTAATAGCAATCGAATACAGCTAAAAAGAGGAGTTTTGTTTGAAAAGCGCGCGTTTTGCGTAGCAAAACCATGGACGGTCCCTCGGACAGCAGACTCGCTGCACCTGCAGCCCAATCTCCTTTCTATTGGTCGACAAGCCTCGTGATCCCGTGCACTCGCTGCACCTGCAACCAAATGGCGGCGGGAACACGAGATCTCGGGTCGTCGACCAATAGGATGGAGCGTCACTCGGGCCCCGTAAACGTAAGCCGCCGCGCCGTCGAGTGCTGATCTCGCGCTTTGCGCGTTCGCGCTCAGTTGGCGTCGGGATGCGCAGCGTTTTGCGTCGTGTTTGTATTTTTATCCGTTAATCGATCGTGATCCATCAGTGTTTTGTTTGCAATCGGACTCGGTACAGTGATGTGATATAATTTAAAGAGATTTATTACGAATTATTGAAACGAGAGCTTTGGATTATCGAAAAAAAAGAGGATTAGAAAGAAAAGTAATTACAACGGAATTGTCTGGATCTATCGATATTTTTTGGGTGCATACCATATATGCATCAAGTTATCCTCTGATACGTTATGCACTTTATCGTCAAGATAACTTGAATCCTTGAACATACAGGCATTAGAATTTTATATATATAGTAATACGACTTTATCTTACTGATAGATCGATTAAATTTTAGAAAAATGTGAGAAAGATAGGCACATGCGTTACTTAAAGATTGATGTGTTCTATATGATAAACTTGCGAAATTAAATTTATAAACAATTATAAGTAGAATTTTGAGATAATGAGAATAAATCAGTTAAGAAAAATAATCTTATTTTTAAATTTCTAAAGTTTATTTGAACTAAATTTATTCATAGTTATAATGAAGTAAGGGTAAATTGCATATCTTGTTACTTTATATTAAACAGTTCTCTACTTAGTTTTCTATTAATTTTGATAAAACTAATCTATCATCAACTACTTAATCTCTGTATATATCAATATATATAACTAATGATATAGTTTGCAGAATTATATACATAGACAGTTATATAAATTTCAGTTTAATGACAATTTTAATTAGAAAATTAATTAGAAAATATTGATTGTGTATTATCATAATCCAAAATTTGTATTAATTGCTTTAGAATGATTTTCATCCAAAATGAAAATCCGAATTAAACGAAGAATTAAAAAAATTTGAGTATCTCTGATACACTTTAATAATTTGAATAATTTATACTTTTTATGATAATCTCATCATAGTTGATTTTTTACTAGCAAATCTTCGACGCAATATTTCGCATTAAACTAGACGCCGCGAATTCATCGCGTTTATCTCACTGGATATCGCGATTCTCTAAGTATGCCGCATTTCTCTCGCGTTACCCTTACAGCACAGTAACCTCTTTGCGTTTCTCAATATCGAGGATACACGAGAGAATCGATTGCCATCGAAGATTTATTTTGGATATTATTCTTACGTTTTAACAAAAACCAGTTGCGTGTCTCTTCCACGTGTAACTTATTTTTATCTCAAAAGAAATTAGATGATCAGGATTTATTTTATTGTAATTGTGAGGCTCTTCTATAATTCCTTTAATTAATAATTTAATTAAGTGTGCACATTAATTAAGTAATGGAGAGGAAGTAAAGAATAATTAGTAGTTTTGTTTCATTATTCTTTGATGTGACTGAAAATGCTGATGTCGCGTAGGCAATAAAGAGACCTCGTCGAGGTCACAGGTTCGTTCATCGCACTCTCAGATGTACACATGTACATATATGGCAGAAATGAAGGGAATCCTAAGTCGTTCTTAGGAGTTAAGGATTTTTGCGCGTTCGCCAGTTACATTGCGCATTCTCGACGCGTATACCATCCTCTTCACATTCGCTTTTCGTCTCTTTCCGGTACATACGACACTAACTCAATCCTGAAGTCTTGTGATATCCCATCCGTATATAGTTATTGACACTCTGTATGGTGCAGCTGTTGTAGAATAAGTAGAATCCATAATTAATAATACGTGCACCTCCGTATAAGGTGCACATATAATTAACATCAAAACAATTTTTTTTAATATGTAGTATTCGTTGAAGAAAAAGAAAAAAATGCTTAATATCTTGTTACATACATCATATATTTAAAAATTTATTATGCTTAAGAAATTATGTACTGAAATAATGCAATTCTGTATCCTAAAATGTCATACACTATTTTGAAACATTTTTATTGTTAAGATTCTGATTATATCTTAAAATAAAAATTTTCAATATTTAATTTTTATATTTGATTTTACATAACGGTGGCAAAGAAGCAAATTGAAATAAATCAACAAATATATAAAATGAGGCTCGAAAGAATCTTATTAGTGAAAAATGTAAGAAAGCCCATCAGAGCCTACATCAGCTTCCAAAAAAAATTTTTTTTTTCGTGTAAATGTAACGAATAAAATATACGTTTTGACCCTTCAATTCAGGTCCTTATCAATATAAAATATAAATCGAAATTACATAGATAATGCAAATTCCAAGTTGATGTTTCCCTGCAATTTAGAATCAATCGAAATAAATTACGTACCGTAGAAGCTGAAATCGATCGAAACAATCGGTTTAATTAGATTTCTAGGACTATTATATGCTATCATGTACTCCCTTTCTTCGGTGTCTTATATTGGCGCCAGAGAGAGAGTAACAGTTATAATACCACATGCGTATATACACCTCAGCTAACACTCCACACTCTATGTAATTAATTGCTCGTAGAACATAAATCGCCGCAGAACGCTCAACGGAATGAAAAATCTAAAGTGTTCGCTTACTCGATCCAAAACGTGATCTGAATCGTTTCCTGCGAGTCTTATCTCATTACACGATTGCTAATTGTTCAGAATTTTTGCTTTAAATCACGCAAATTGCACCATAAATAGACGAGGCACTGTTAAAAACGCCTCCGCGATTATCTCTTTGCTTTATCCAAATAAAAAAGTGATCAACTTTCGTTGTTTTTTTTTTTTATAAAGTTTTTTCAAACAATTTCAATTCTTCTGATTTTTCACGGATTTTTCATTAATTGTTTTTATGTATATAAATTTCGAAAACTCTCTCTTATCGCTGTTAATCAACTATTTTTGTGTAAACTCACTGAAAATGTATTAAAAGCTATAAATACATAACAATATCTTTTTTCAAAAATTATTATGTATTTTTCTAATTAGAAATTTCAATGTTACGTAAAAAAGCAATGAACTGCATTACTGTAATTAGGGGTTTAGAAAGTGAAATACCAGTAGACGCTTCTGGCTCCGGAAGCTGGGCAACAGGTAGCAAAACTTTGTAGAAACCAACCACTGCCTTGGGGAATTCGAGAAGATGATTAGTTCGTACATGGAAATTTAAGATCTCTGATCTCCTGTTTTACGATCGCGTGTCACGTTTTCATAAATTTAATGATAGACCGTGCGTAATAAAATGCACGTTTATCACATCCGATAAATAAATCGTAATCGCATCATCGAGATTTACGGCGAGCATTTTTTCCATACGTTTTATAACTCTTCAATTACATCATATTGCCATTTATACTTCTCGTAGTAAAGAAAAATGCTAGTAAAAAAGATATGCAACATAGTCTTATAAATTTAGATAATTTTACACATGATAATAAAAAGTTTAGGAAATATATTTTTATTAGCAGTTTACATTTCTTATATTAGTAATTAATAATGTGATCTTGTTTAGAACTTTCGTTATTTTATTAATTTTTGTATAATGCTTGGGAACGTATATTTTATATTTTCTATGCATATTATAGAATCGCAAATATATAATAT